CATTTGTTATTAACTTGTACTCTATAATTATATCCGAATGGAAAATCATCCTCTCTAGAACCTTGGATTTTTCTTGCCTGCCGCTTGGGCATTCAATACGCCAGGAATTCGATAGGAAAAGAAGGTTAGCTATTGCTCTAAGCTTCATGGCATGATCTAGAGTAGAAAGAAAGGAGACAATCTTGGATGTCTTGGTAGTTAACCGTTTATATGAGTGGCCGGCACACACATATAAAGGAAACTCCACTAGACACGGCTTTATAGACTCCCTAGGACTCTTGAACCTAGTGCTCTGATACCAAGCATTATCACGCCCCAAACCTGGGCCTGGACGTAACACGGCACTCGGTGCCTGACTACCTGTGACCGATGGAACCAACTGGCTGGCTGAATCAACATGTGATATCATAACATAGTAAATGCGGAAGATAAACTAACACGTGCTGATATACTGAAAGTCTGGATGATATAAATCAAAGCGCGGAAATACTAAAACTAGTCTGAAACATATATGTAGACAACATTGCTTAACATGGAAAGATGTGACTCTGTCTAGCTGTTACTCTAGTCTATGAAGCCTCTAACGGAATACTGAAAACACTGACTGTCTGAAAATAATGAGGACTGTAAGGTAATGATAATGCCCCGAAATAACTGGGGATCACCAAATAGCTGGAACGAGAATCCTAGCGCTCTGAATCATCAATCTGTAAATCATTACCTGCATTGTGAGATGCAGGCCCCGGGCAAAAGGGACATCTATACATTTGAATTGTACTGGTATGTAAAGCAACTGAAAGAAAGAATTATAAATGCTAAAACTGAAACTAAGCTGATAACTAGTAACTAAACTGATAACTGAAAAGATAACTGATAACTGAACTGATAACTGAAAAGATAACTGATAACTGATAACTGAAAAGATAACTGATAACTGATAACTGATAACTGAACTGAATAAAGCAAGTAATGATATGAATACTCCCTCTTCTGAATGATGAACAACCTGTTTATCTGAATAAGCTACGGCCTTGGGCCCAATATATATGTGCACAAGCTACGGCCTCAAGCCCAAGTATACGTATACATAACTACGGCCTCAGGCCCAAACATGCATAAAGCATAAACTACGGCCTCAGGCCCAAGTGTGCATAAAGCATATAACTACGGCCTCAGGCCCAAATACAGGTGTTCAACATTTAAGAATTTAAAATCAGGAACTGAGAATCATACTGAAATACATGATGCTGAAATACTGAACCATAATAAGTTACGTGATATCCGAATATTGGATTACACTGAGTATATAATACTGGAATACTGAATCATACTGAGTTACATAATACTAGAATACTGAATAGGACTAGAATGAGACATGTATTCTTGAACTGATTGTGAACACTGAAACTTCAGCTGTTTATGACATGCTGAGTAAGCTATATTGAGACTTAGGGACATCAAACCCAAGTCTATATTGAATACGAACTGAGCTCACAACATTCAGAATGAAAGTCATGAACGAGTTATGAAGCTGGATAATAGAAGTTCTACAACTATTCAAGGAACTAGGCTTAACTATATTTTTGAGGCAATTGATACGTCGTAAAAGAAACGTAGTGTAGGGAGAATCATTAAAATTCCCAAACATAAAAAGTTAGCCTCACATACCTTAACTTCCTGCTCTTGATCCTAATACAACGTTTGTCAACCCTTTCAACTTTAATCTATAGCAATACTAGTCAAAGGGATTCCATATTAGCTATGATGCTCATGTTTTGGTCACTTAAGTATCTTATCAAACACTTGGTGAGAATAAAGCTTCATAGTCCTTATTAATGGTGTCTCTACACCCAATAACCCATTCTCTTGTTCCTAGATAAATTCTAAAGTCTCAAATGGTTATAATCAACATTATTCTTTATCACCCACAAAGTAAACAACACCCTTAACCAATAATCAACAATCAACACCCAAACCTATAATCGTTCATGCTTTTCTATCAAAATCATCAACTCATATCTCATGAACTTGTAGTCTACAATCATTAATCCAATGATAGAATCAATTAGAGGGTGAAGATATTACCTTTTTGACGTTCAATCTTCTTGAATTCGAGTTCTAGGGTTTCTTCTCTCAACAATGGTGTCTAAATTGAATATCTAATGATATGGAGGATTTACCCATGTTAATAAGATGTTGGAAAATTGAAATTAACTTAAAATCACCATTAGAACTTACCTTGGGTGGTGGAAGGACCCTTAAGGAGTTAGGTTTTTGAGAGCTTCCCTTTCTAGAGCAAGTTTTTATGTTTTGGGGCTGTGGGGGACGAAATATAGCTTTAAAATGACCCCCCCCCACTAGCGCGCCCACGCTACTGGAGGCTTGCCCGCGCTAAACGGCAGTAACACTGCCTCAAAATTAGCGCGGCCGCGCTAAGGGCACGCTACCGGCGCGCATATCGCGTACTGTTATGTAAAACACGCATAACTTTTTGCACAGAGATCTGTTCAGGCTCCATAATATATCTTTGGAAAGCTATTTCAAAGGCCTACAACTTCCATGCTTTGAGGTTTCTCAAATTCCTTACACATTTTCTCTAAACACTGATGGAATATAAACCTTCTGGAAACTTAGTCGATTTTGTCAAATCTTATGCACCTCACTTTCCATCTTGATTTTGAAACAACTATTTTCACCCATAATCATCTCGATGAGACTTCACATGCTCAAAATATAACCTTACTACTCCTTTAACTCATTCATACCTAAGTTGAATTTACGGGGCGTTACACGAATGGAAGAAGGGTATCTGCCAACAGCCCAAGTGCGAGGATTTGAAGCAGGGGAACTTCTCTTCGAAGTCCTTGGTTGTGATAAGACTTCTTAGGATGATGGTGCTCACCGTAAAAGGAGTGGCCTCATCGGCTTTACCTTTGTTCTTTAAGGAACTAGGGGTTTTAGAAGAAGAAGCCATTTTTTATCAGAAAAGGAGGAATATTTTCTTTCAAGAAGAAGGTTAAAGAAAGGATGAAGAAAAACTACGAAGTTTAGTATAAAGAGTTTAAAAAAATTTGATGATTTAAGAAGTGTAAATGAAGAAGTTTGATGTGTGCAAGCAAAGGAATAGATGGCTGAAATCGTGGCCGTAATTACCTCGATAACCAGCAAAAGTGATGCTGAATCGTGGGATGATGCGTGTTCAGGGCATTAAATGCGGAGAGACATGCATCTAATCAACCGTCAGAAATTTCTCGGAGGGGGTCAGCAAGTTTCCCGCCAAGAAAGATATCTCTACCAACTTCCCGATAACACAAAGATATGCCACCGGAAAGCGGGGGGAATATCTGTATGGGGTGAAATATGTTCATATTTAACGAATGCATGAGAAAACGACACGTAGAGCCGAAGACAGAAGACAGTCGTACCCGAAGGCAATGGTCTCGCTTGTCATCTGAAAGAATGATACTCATAAAGGCCAAATAAATGCCTACCATTCGGTAGTATTCAGTGAAGAATATTCTACAACATTAAGTGTATTATCCATTACAGAGAATATGACATTCACTGCCTACCGTTATACATTCTTCAATGGCCCTCATAATTATCATTTAAAAGGGGTTTGATCCTAGGACCTTGTTCCCTAGGTATATCTATAAATAGTGGGCTCTACCATCATTGTAAGGGGGCGAATTCCCTGACAAGCATACCCTATATTCTATCTAAAGCTCAATAACATTTTACTTTCTTGTTTATTCATACTGTTCTTACTGCCCTCGGTAGCTCTGCGCCTGGGATCGAAATATCTGCTGTTTCATTTTCTTTTCAAGGCTAAGTCGTACATTATTGCCTAATTTATCTACTATTTTAGGATCAAATTAATTCATTTGTACGTTTTACGGGTAAACAGTATTTTCGGTGAACTAAACCGGCAAAACCAGTAGTTATGTCGTTTTTCCTTCTTTTTCCCGTTTGTTGGCATTAGAAAAAAAATAAATCTAATTGACAATTAAAACGTAGAAGAAATACGTCACTCAATTTGAAACGAAGGTAGAGTAGTATGCTTACGCTGAATTGATTGATTTTTGAGGTTTGATTTTCGACATTCTAAAAAGGAAAATAATACAGCTTATTGTACAAAATGCATGCATTAAATTCTGTTGCGCAATATGTAACCCCAATTATCTGTATTCACATTAAAATAATGAATACACCAAAAGGAATCTTCACGGCATCAAAGGAAGCTTAATTGAGAATTATCCATTTCAAAGTATCAAAATTTAAAACCGGTTTCGAGGAAAATCAGTATTCTATTCCCGGGCTACAGTCAATGAACTCAGACATCCAAAAGATTAAGTATAAAGGAGAGGTCAGGTTGGGAAGGAATGCATCTATGAACCAATTTCATTTTTGTCGGAAAACAAGGAAATTCCCTTTTAGTGGCAATTATTTGAATTAATTGGACCCGTAGCCAATTTTCACATTGCCATTTATACATTCAATGTATTCAAATTATCAAACTGGTAGCAAGTGTTTGGCAAACTTCAGGCAAAAGCCTATTTGTTATCTGTCCACTTCACCCTCAAACAATACGACCATCCTTTGTCTTACTCACCATATGCTTTTGCTCATGTATAAGAGTTGTATCTGTCAAGAGACGCAGCTGTATTGACTAATGCTGGTAAAATCGCCATATCTGTTTTTCTTGGTTGACCAAGAGAAATACAAAAGAAACGGAAAGAAGTCTCAATCTATCATAGTTCATATGCACAAGGTTAAGCTGAAGCGTTGCTAGCTTGCGCTTTTGTTCTAGCAGTAAGACACATCAAAAAATACCGTTAATAATTTTTTAGAAAAACATGACAATGACAAAATGAGATCAAATTTGAAACTTATGTTTCTATTTGAGTTCAGTTAGAATAGATTTTGGTTGGATTGTTGAAAATCGAAAAACATATTACTGCTTCTAGCAAAAATTTGTTCACTTAAACTTCATGCACAAGTGCTTGAAATAAAATCATGTATATTAACTCCCAGCTTCAAACAAAATTTGTAACTTCGCGGATCTTTGCAACTTCAATCGTGTATGTCTAAAATTATTTCTGAAGGGGCTAGACTTACTAAAATTTATGAACTTAAGCCATGATTTAAATAGGGACCCCGAAATTGGCTGTCTGTACACTTCACCCCAATTTTTTTATCCTCTGCGAGTCCTGTTAAGAAGCCTCAGTTAACTAGAGGTAATTTGCATGAATAAAACATCACATTATATAGCTATCAGCATCCTGTCTTCTGCAATTGTTCCATCTTCTATTGATAGTTCACCAATACATGTTCCTCTTTTGTGTTCGAGGTTTATGCCTTGTATCTGATTAGCTCTTTCAGTTTACTGTACAGACTTCATACGTGAGATTAACCTAAGATAATGTTGAACCTGGATGGCCGTCATCAGTACATTTAATAGGCCTTCGAGCATCATCTAACAGTAAGCTGTGTGTTCGGCCATAAAATATGTATATTATAACTCCCACAGCCAGCCATATTAAAACGCGTACCCACGTTTCAGCTCTGCAAGTTATCACTGTTAGTATGTGGCATGCATATTTGAAAAACTCACAATTTCCTAATGCAAAAAGGAATATGAGGACTTACCCGATATTAACTAGCAAGTATGTATTTATAAGAGCACTGGCTACTGGTAGGAAAGGCACAAACGGGCATATGAAACCTGAAAAAAAACAGATTAGAAATACTTCAGTGACATTGTGATGCCATTTTAGGAAAACAACCAGAAATTAGCTAATCAATGAAATAGAAACTAGAAAGCATGAAAAAAGAATTCATGTCCAAATTCTTTAACATGCTCTCTCTACTCGTAGTGCTTGTCTAACATGAAGCAAGGGTTATGCTTTGAGGTTTTGCACAAGAGTTCTGAAATTGTGCGCGCATATGAAAAATATGAAACATTTAAAAGTGGAGCTATTTTTTAGCAATAGAATTGACTTGAACCAAGTTGAAAACTTATTTCCAGCAGGATTCACTGCAAGGGATCATATTTCAGTCTATGAACAAGATCTAATATCCAAGGTTATCTAGGAAATCAATGCTATTGGGGCTAAGGGTAAAAAAGGTGAGGCATCAGGTGAGGAAAATATCAATACTTGTAAATAAGGAACAGTAATACTGTGATGAATGAACAAAATTTACAGACATCCTGAGAAGAACTTATTTGGCTAGTGCTAGAAGTGCATCGTAGCATGTACAATGTATACAAACTTCAAAGCAATAGCAAGAGAAAGAAGTGTAAATAAAGTGTTAAATTCCAAGAATAGAAATTATTTTACATGATAACGTTCCATATCATAAAAACCTTATATTATCTATGACATCTGAAGTCTATTCTTCAGTAGACAACAGATAATTTCTAACTGAAAGTGTTAAAGTTAGTTCATCCAGTAAGCCACTGACATGTAACGATGACCGCAAATATTACAGAATTTTCGAGATACCTCCTGATTTCGTGAAACCCTCGTTTGTGTCAGCTTGATCGACAGAGCTTAGCACAGCCAAAAAGTAAATTACAAGCATACCACCAACTCCACTCAATATAAGGCGCAGAATGCTGACAAAATAACCAAGTTATAGAGTTAAAAATACCAGACATTCTTTTGGCAAAAACTGAAGAGGTGAAAAGGAGAGAACACTATGCAACAATAACAGTAAATCCTGCACGATGAATAAACTCGAGGAAAAATATAATGCATCAATCAGAAATCAACTCTTGAGCTACACAACAGCTTCTTTTCACCCCAATATAGGCAATAGTGTTGCAACACACCGTAATCTGAGCATCTCTTAGCTACGATTAAAGCATAAAGTATACTTGTAACAGTCATGTGGTGGTGTTATAATGTTGCTTAGTGGTTAACCACCCCGAATATCCATTCTCGTTTTTCTTTTTTCTCTTTAATTTTTTGAGAGAGACAGACCCCTGATATCCATTGTCCTTCCTAGATTGCTGAGAATAAGCATTATAATTGTTTATTTAGAGTAATACCCAGCAACTTGAGGACTTCAAGGTAAGTAATGACCCAACACATAACCCTAGTCTTCCATAACTTGCATAAGCATGAGATCTATAGCATTATTGTCAAAGTATTGTGTTTAAAAAGCATGTTAGGACAAATATAGTAATATGACATATGTTTTGATAAATGTATATGATGTTACTTGAGATTTATTTGATGATTTCAAAATGCGCATTTGAGCCATGACATATGCCTGTATCTTATTACAGGAGATATTTATGTTAGAACAGTTGGTACAAGTTAGCGATTTTTACTCGAGTAATAAACTAATAATAAGTATGCGTATAAGTATGACTCAAGTTCTATTTTGTTATAGAATGACAATAATAAGAATGTTTTCAGATAGGCTTTGGGAGGAAATCGAGAAATTAAGAGATAGCAGACACAAAGAAGAGGAAGATTGCATATACATTTTTTATACATCACAAATGTGAGGATCACATACTAGAAAACTGAAGTTCCTTACCTGGATAGACTTTTAGTTGAAACAGCAGCTACCACTACAAGAATTCCAAAACATACCATGGTAATACTCCAAGCAGCGATTTTCCTTCTCCTGAGTTTATCTTGAAAAATATATAAAATTATGCACCAGTAACAAAAATTACTGAATCAAGAGACTCAAAGAAGCAATATTGTACAGTAGCTTCAATTATGGTATGAAGTTCATAGAGAGAATGTAACTCGCAGAAAATTCGTCTGAATAGAATTTGTTCAAAATTAATAATTTGGATAAGCACCAAAATTTCCTGTGTTATGAGCAGGAAAAGCATAGGAAACTATCCATCAAGTTATCATGTGGACAATTTGACACTTAGTGACCAGAAGATGCTTCTAAAATGATGTCTTGCCTCAAAAGATTCCAGGCAGTGCAGCTCATCTCTCTCTCTATATATACTCCCTCCGTTTCAATTTATATGAACCCATTAGACTGGGTATGGATTTTGAGAAAAGAGAGACGACTTTTGAACTTGTGGTGTAAAATGAGGCACATATACTTTGTGTGGCTATAAATTATTGCATAAAGGTAAATTCTTTCCAAATAAGGAAAGAGGTCATTCTTTTTGGCACGGACTAAAAAGGAAATAGGTTCACATGAATTGAAACGGAGGGAGTATATTCAATTCTATATATATATTATAACTAACAATCATCTAAATCTAATTTGTTAGATATTTATGTGTAAATAGTCTTAGTCCCATATGTAGCAGGAATAGAATATGTCCTAGTTCCATATGTAGTAGGAGTAGAATATGTATTATATATATGGCTCATTGTATCATTGTTAAGAAAATATAGATTTTTCTCCCGTGCATTCTCACATGGCATCAAAGCTTCATCAAGAAAATTATCGTTGTGCGTCATTCCAGCTCCATCCGGGAAGAAATATCTCATTGCCGTGCAATTTTCCGGCAACTTCGTCTTTTTCCCAGGGTTCATCACTGCTACAGTGGTACTGTGCGTATACCAATACCACCATCAGATTCAAAACCCTTGTACGACCAAACCCCAGAAACTCTAGTCCCATCCGAATAGTAAAATCAGTCATCGTGTGTCTTGTCGGTTGACGACTCAAGATTGATTTGCGTTATTTCCTCATCGATAAGTGTTGTGCGAAAACCAACACTACCATCTTGTTCCGCAAAGTCAGGCGACAAAACCCCAATCAATCGCTCCGGCACAAAGTCACGTGCTGCCAGAACTAGGATTCCGGCGAGCTACAGTAACTTTTCCGGCGCGTGTGAGCCATTTCCGGCCACTTTTTGACAAAACTTCTTTAGGACAACTTCCTCGTCCAATGATTCCGAGCCTACCCATATAAAATTACATCAAATTCTGACAACCTTTATTTTCTCCGACGTGAACAATGATTTCCCGGAACAGTAATTTCCAGAAAAAAATTTTGTTTTCTATTTTCTCAACCTATTTTGTACTGTGGAATTCGGCTTAGTCTCACTATTTTCAAATTTTTCCGGCAACCTTTCGGCCAACTTCTGCTTATCAGCAACCACTTGGTTTTGTTGCTCAAGGGGAGTCTAATGGCCTTGTATGTCGAATGATCATCTTGCAGATATTTTCCCCAAGTCCCTCACTAGTCCTCGTATTAGTTACATACGTAACAAGCTCAGTACATATGATTTGTATGCATCGGCTTGAGGGGGAGTGCTAGATAGTTATGTGTAAATAGTCTTAGTTCCATATGTAGTAGGAATAGAATATGTCCTAGTCGCATATGTAGTAGGAGTAGAATATGTTCTAGTCCCAATAGGGCTCATTGTATCATTGTTTAAAAAAAAAAAAAAAAAAAAAATCTCTCGTGCATTCTTACATAATTTATATGCGCAAAAATGATGGCAAAATTTTACAAGTGTTTAGTATCTTGCTATTAAAAAATCCATCCACCTATCTGCCTGATCAGAAAAAATGAAAAAATCCGTCCAGCTATCTATAAGAGTAGTAATTCATGCCCATCTCTTTATTGCTCTTTATAAGCAAATAAAGCTCCTAACTTTGCGTCTATTACAGACTCAAAGTAAGTCCTAAAAGCCCATCTCATCCTTATATACAATTACTTCATGCGACAAAAGCCTGAACTCACCTTACATCAAGTCCCTAAGATACAAAGAAGAGGATACATAAAACTTAGCTTAAATGGTGAGGATGTATATCTGTGTAAGACGCTACGTCACTTGAGTCAAAAGAGTTTTTTAAAACTAGTAGAGACGTATTGAAATTTCCAGACAAACCTAATACTCTGGCATAAGACCATAGTGTAAGACAGTTGATAGACTTATCTATTTAAATAAAAAATGAAATCACTGAAAGTTCCCCTTGACACGCTATACAAAACCAAAACATAAAGTGATAACTCCACCAACTCCTGTAAAGCCTGGTATGCCTAGTTCAGATAACGGCAGTGGAAAACACTCCAAATGCAATCCATGCGGAATTGAAGGTTAGCTCCTACGCTTTGTTACGGTCATGCTAAGTGAAGTGATTTTAGTTCGATATGAGGGAGCATCACCAAGAGGAAACCTAGGTTGTCTAGAATAATCTAAAAGATTCCTTCACTGATGGGTCCAAATACGGGCAAACAGGTTTGTTTACTTTCCCTGTTGTTATATCTTCAAAAGGAAGAGGAAAGAAAAACAGAAAATAGGGAGAAAATATAGAAGTATCTTCACTTGCTTATGCAAGCACATTTTCATTTTTCAAAAGGTACAGATATCATGTAACTAACAGAAAAGATTTTCAGAAAAATACTAAAATATTTTGGAAAGAAGAAATAATTAACTTTCCAAAGCATCTACAGTACCAATTCTGGAAGCGTCAGGTGGCTCATCTGAGCAGACAAACCCACAAAAATTTCAACCTGACCCGCTTAAGTTTTTTTTTTTTTTTTTTTCTCCTTGTTTTTTCATTTTGTTATTTAACTAAAAGAGGCAAGTTTAGCGTTACATGATTCTTCAAAAGAATAGTTTAATATTACGGGGCAGCTTGATTTATTATTTTTCATTGTGTTTTTCTTTGTCTAAAGATGTGGAGGCAGACCCTGGAGACTAAAGGTTTCAAGCAATAGAACCAAGACAAAATACTTGGATCGTAAGTTCAGTGGTGAGACTCAGGGAGGGGAAGGGGAGGTGAGGCTGGACTCGCAAGTCATCCCTAAGAGGAAGTTTTAAGTACCTTGAGTCTATTATTCAGGGGGATGGGGAGATTGATGAAGATGTCACACACCGTATTTGGGCAGGATGGAGGAAATGGAAACTTGCTTCTGGTGTTTTGTATGACAAGGTGCCACCAAAACTTAAAGGTAAGTTCTACGGAGTAGTGGTCAAACCGACTATGTTGTATGGGGCTGAGTGTTGGCCTGTCAAGATCGCCCATATCCAGAAGATGAAGAAGATGAAGGTAGCAGAGATGAGGATGTTGAGATGGATGTGCGGGCACACCAGGTTAAATAGGATTAGAAATGAGGTTATTCGCGACAAGGTGGGTGTGGCTCGCGTTGAGGACAAGATGCGGGAAGCGAGGCTTAGGTGGTTTCGACATGTGAGGATGAGGAGCACAGATGCCCCGGTGAAGAGGTGTGAGAGGTTGACATTGGAGGACCTACGGAGAGGTAGAGGTAGGCCGAAGAAGAAGTGGGGAAAGGTGATTAGGCAAGACATGACGCAGCTTCAGCTGACCGAGGACATGACCCTTGGTAGAAAGGTGCGGAGGTCGAGAGTTAGGGTAGTAGGGTAGGTCGTAGATTGTTCATACCAGTAGGATTAGTACGCACTCTCGCATTCTGTTGGTAGTAGGTTTCTATGACCACCCATCATTTTCTTTCATTTTGATCATCTTATTATTGTGTTGTTTCTATGCTGCTTTTACATGGCTTTTTGGTGTTGTCTCTCATTGTCTATCTTTTAATTAATGTGGTGCTTATGTTTTCCTGAGCCGAGGGTCTATTGGAAACAGCTCTCTACCTTCACAAGGTAGGGGTAGGTCTGCGTACACACTACCCTCCCCAAACCCCACGATGTGGGATAATACTAGGTATGTTGTTGTTGTTGTTGTTGTGTTTTTCTTTGTCTAAATGTGTTCCCAATTTTAATATTACTCAAGCAGTAAGTATACTGCTCAGACATTGACAAAAATAGCTGATAAACACATTAGAAAAGCAGCATCAGTTAAAAATCCTGACAAGTAAAGTTTTATTATGACTATAATAACACCGGTGACTAGATCATAGCAACAAATTATAGCCAATGCCAAAAGACTTTTAATGATTAAATTGCTTAATCTTGAATAATCGACTGCAATCTTTAATTAATAATATGAGAAACAGAAGCTGCCATATCGGATATCACCGTCGCCAAATCAATATTTACAGTTACGTTCCGTACCAGTCTTCAACGAGAGAGTAAAACATGGTTTTAGGTATAAACGCTTTAAAATACTCAACCCACAACCCATTCCTCCCCGCTTCAGTTTTTCAAGAAAAATGTGTCAAGAAGGCCCACATAAGAGCAACCCCCCGCGGCCCCATTTCCATCCCTACTCCTATAGATTACTTTGTCATAAAAATGAATTCCAATGAAACAAATAAATGCATAATAGGAATGTTACTGTCAAACAAATTTTGAGAAAGCTTCATAAAAATGAATTCCAAAGAAACAAATAAATGCTTAATAGGAAGGTTACTGTCAAACAAATTTTGAGAAAGCTTTCAAGAAAAAGACATGGTGATAAACTAATATTTTATGTGGCATGCATTTATATGCTCACTGTATGTCATAAACCATCAAACTCAAAATAAACTTAATTTCACAGAACAATCAATACCATGAGAAGGATACCTTGAGCTATATTTTGCTCAAGAAGAGGCCTTTCAACCAAATCTGCTCCATGAGCATCTAGATGTTGACCATTACTGTCCCAAGAATTATCAAGAGCTTTAGCTTCTTCTCAATCAATCTTAAGGTTATTATCATTGTGCAAATGATACTTACACATTTGATTGCTGGTCAGATGGCAGGAAAGGCAGTTCATCTGGTGGAACATATCTAAGTATCAAGATTGAAAGAGCAACTATGGTGAATGAGAGCAATGTGCCAACACTAACCTGCAAAAAGATGCCAAATTTTCTTACTTCTCATTGAATTCTTCCAAACTTGTCTCTTTTAAAGCACGGGAATTTTCCTAGTTATAGCTTACCATTCCCGCCAGTTGAGAGACATCCATAAAAAAGGCAAGGATTGCAATAAAGATACCAGTTGCTATGGTTCCCTTGACAGGAACTTGAGTGTGCTTACTAATGTCTGAAAAAAAGGAAGGCAGTAATCCATCCCTAGCCATCGCCATCAGTATTCGAGGCTATTTGTTTGCAGAAGTGGGAAACACAAAAGCACAAAAGAAAATAAATTATGCATAGCAAGAAACATAAATATTCACAACTGTTCAGATTTTCTATGGTGCCAAACTCAGGGATCTTGGAATATTACAAGTTTATTAGAAAAGGTTAAGATATTGTTTCTACTAAAATATTGAACTTGGGCCTAACTCAAACCCCAAAAGCTAGCTCATGAGATAATGATTGCTTAAGATAATACAAAGAAATGACAACTCATTCCCTATACCGATGTGGAACATTCTAACACCTCTTTCCCACGTGCCTAGTGCTAGACATTTGGAGCATAGGCAATATAACATGGGTGCCACAACATTAAATAAACCAACAATAGTGATGCCTCTAACTCTGATACCATGTATAGAAAATGGAGTTGGGCCCAACTCAATCCTAAAAGCTAGCTCATAGTGAAGATTGCGCAAAACAATAAAAGGAGACTATAGTCCATTCCTCAACCAATATGGAACATTCTAAAGGTTCCAAATCCAGAATATACTTAGGATTAGTTGGTATATGTTGTCCCATCAAAAGCAACCAGATGCAGAGGAAGAGGGGGCGAGGGGGGTAACTAATACTTCTTTTAGCCCTGATACCCCCCCGAAAAAGGGACGGATCAACATCATGATAAGTAGCCTATGAACATGTGCAAGTGATCAAAGAAATTGATGGATGTTTATGTACAAAATTCAAGAAAGAAAGTTCTATCATCTGTATCATCTGCTGGGCTAGCCACACAAATAACTCAACAGTGGAACTCTCCTATGTTGCTCGGACTCTTCAAAAATGTTGTTGGGTATGTGTCGGATTCTCCAAATTTAGTGTATTTTTGGAGGATCCGACACGGGTGCGGCAACACTTTTGGAGAGTCCGAGCAACATAGGAACTCTCCTTAAGACAAATTCTTACTGATAGGTTGGTCACTGCCTGCTTAAGAAAAGGTTTGCTCTAGTCTTCACCAATTCTTTCCTTCTAAAAGAGTTCAACACTGGCTGCAAAAATGCTACTCTAATTATCAAGCAGAACTCCATGTTCTCAACCTGGTATTATATAGGCCCTTTCATGTTTTAAAAAACAGATGTAATACAGAAGTTGAATAACAAGGCCTAAGTGTCCCAGGGCATCCTACAGCAATCTAGCCAAAGAGATACAATAGGAACTAAGTTGTTCGGATTCGGGTGAAAGTGTCCGATCATGGTGCGGATCTAGAGGTCGAATCTTTCATGATCTAAATATTAAGATTCGGGGTAAGGGTCCAGGCATGGATATGGGTGCGAGGATTCGGCTAAAAATAATTCAAATATCTAAAAATAGAGTCATAAAAATATGCCTACGTTATGAGACATTATGTGGAAAACTTACATGGTGTTTGTAGAGTGCAGAAAGTTTCTCTTTTATTCTCAATTTCACCCTAGTTTTCATTTTGATTTCAAAAATCAATATACCTGTCTCGAATTCCTCCGCCGATTTTGGTCAAAGAACCCAAAATCGATTAACTAGATCCGATACAGATACCTACACCCACACCCACATCCACACCCACATCGTGTCAACACGGGTAAGGCACCGAAAGTTGAGTCCGAGCAACTTAGCCTAGGAATGATAATATACTTGCAAGAAAACAAAATATGTCCAAGTTCCTACTTTAAAAACCACTAATGCACGTCCCTGATTTGATATATCAAGAGCGTGTTAAAAAAGAACAGTTAATCAAGATCATCAAATCTATTGACTAGTCAAAACGCTCCATTTAAAGGATAAATCGGTCACAGACATTAAAGGCTACTTTTAATTAGGACAGTAGTTTGATGCATTTGGTAAGTCCTCGGTCTATAATAAGATGCCTGACCAACATCAATAGAGATGCTATGTACTCCTTGAGTCTTTTGCGAGCATTGTGCACTCGTAACTGATCTTGTCAATAATATTGGGATTATTTTGTCAGGGAATGTACTTATTTACATATACCTATCCAAAAAGGAAAAAGATTTGACCAATTATCAACTAGATTTTGCCAGGTTTTTAAAAACTTGAGAAATTATCAAATCAAATAAGGTCCTAGTTGTAAGACTACTCTCATCCATGACCATAAACCATGGTTTGAGCTTCAAAAAGATACCATTGCATCCAAATTCTCTGGCTTCTTTTGTGTAAATTGTGTTCTTCGTTAATCGCTAAGCTACTTGGTCTTGTTCCCTTGAAGCAATCTCAGTTCGAGTAACACACTCTATAACTAGAGCTGATCGCTTTTTTTTGGGGACAAATAACAGATCGCATATTCAATACCTGTGGAATAATTGAACCAATAAGGCTTGCACAAAGAGCATTCACCGTTCCAATCGTTATAATGTAACTGCAAGCCATAACATGAATCAAGTTTAAACAAAGCCTAAAACGCACAAGTTGAGAAACACAAACTGTAGGTCATATCACAAACTTACACAGCCCATTCCATGCCATAGCCTGCAAAAGCAGACGAAATTGGTGTATCGGGGTCCAGTGCGTAGTATGGAACTAACCCAACAATAACAGCTGAAACCAGCATATACAATATGCCACATATGGATAGCGCAATCCCTATACCAAGAGGCATGTCATGTTGAGGGTTCTTTACCTATTACGTCAATTGTAAGTAAGTCCATGTCTTAATTGTGACAAAAATATATTGAAAAAGCAACTCTGTTTCTATTGCTGAGATTCAGTAATGCAGAACCCAGAGGATAGCAAGAGATATGCTCAGCTACAATCAAATTAAAAAGCCAGTCAATCTGCAAATTTTTAAGCAACATAAAAGAAGTAAAATATTTGAACTTGACATACAGATGAACAGATGATCCCACTAATTAAATGTTCAACATAAGTACTTCTTTATGAAAAATGCAAGTACAAACTCACAGTATATCCAATTATCCTAGATATTACAGCAGAAATTCTTTTATCTGATAGCTATAGCTGACTAGGGGAATTTTATGGATGCAAAAGAGATTTGTAGTTGGGGGGAGGAGGGAGGTAAGTATTGAGTCAAAAGAGGAGGCGAGGGAGACGCGTGAGGAATTTTATGTATAACCGCAATAAGATGTGGAGTGGAGGTCAAGATTTGAAGGAGAAGATCATCTTAACTGGGGGATGAGGAATCGGTTCAGAGAGGAAGTTCTTGGATGAGGAAGTATGAGAGGCGACTAAAAGTAAAGTGAAGACTAAAGGTCTCAAATATCACGGTGTCACCGTCACAGAATGCTTCCATAGAAGAAAGAATTATGTGGCTTTGATTATAAATAAACTAGTAAATTCTAAGATGAAGAGTGGACAGGCAAGTACACTTAGCAAATTGAATTGCATAAGGCATATAACAGTGTTAGCTAGAGCTTTCGCAACTCTTTCAAAGAGAATATGAGGTTTGGAGAGAAATGAAAATAGTGGATTCATTTTACACATCCACGGTCAGATTCTCAAAGGTCGTAAATGAAGACTCACACGTTTTAACCAAAGTTCAAGGGGGTTTGCGACACGGAAATAGAAAATTGGATACAGAAGTTCCATCGAACAATGACTAGACCAACTTTATATTTTCATTATATGCACTAAGAGCTAAAACCAATAAGGAAATGGCAGAAACCATGAGAACTGGTGAAAAAAAATGGTGGCCTTTATACAATTTGAAGCTAATACCTCCTCAGCTGTGCTAGCAACTATATCAAAACCAATGTATGAAAAGAAGACTGTCGCCGAGCCAGCCAACAACCCATTTGCTCCAAAAGCAAAATACCTAGAAACTCGAAGAAATGCATCAATCAAAAGGTTGGATGTATGTAATACAGTGAAACCATATAAAAAGAACCGCTTACCCGCTAGAAACTTCATAGCCTGGCCAGCCAGTCTTACATCCCAGGTATGCACCAGCTAAGACAATGAACACTAAAGCACTAATATTGATGGTTGTAATTATAGCTTGCGCAAGGGAACTCTGCATAAGATATTATCCAGATGCAAGAGTACAATGACAGTGCAGTTGAAGACAAGTCAGACATTAGATAAAGGAAATTGAGGAGAAGTCCTTTAATTGAGAGAAGGACGCACCTCCTTGATCCCAGTGCACAGTAGGGCAGTGATAATGAAAACTAAGATTGCAGCACCAGGATCTACTACAATTCCAAAAATGGTTTGACGAGCCAAAATTGACGGCAGTTTATCCATACCACCAAAGAGTGAAGCCTGCAAACGAAATAGTACTTAATAATCGGAAAAGAAATCCTTCATCTGGTGAAGAGGGAATTTGTTACAAGAAGTAAAAAGGATGAGGAGTTTGAGTACTAAAATTACAGTTGCTGAACAAAAGCCTTCTTTTCAAGTGATCACAGATATATAGTCAAGGGGAAATTCCTTACTGGAAGAAAATTATTCAGATTAAACATGGTACCAGCAATTTCTGGTCTACTAACCCTGTTAGTTCCCCTCATGAGTCTGGTTTGTGGAAGAATATAAATGCGTATGGGAGGAGCACAAGGAAGAGACACAGTTAAAGCTAGGAGACAGCAAAAGAATAATTTTCTGGTATGATGATTGGCTGGGAGATGATACCTCTAAAACGACAGGTTTACCTCAGTTTTGAAGAAAATAGCTGGGCAACAGTTAGAATAATGTAGTAATAATCAAGCTGGGAAGTGAAATTTAGAAGGAATTATAATGATTG